CCGCCCCCCCCCCTTTCTCCCCTCAGATGACCTCAAAGCTCTGCAGGTCTCCATTTCCAAGTATCCGCCCGTACGAGCCGTCCTGTCGGGCAGCCTGACCATCCCCTGCCACATCACCTACCTGCGGCCACTGCCCACTGCTGGAACGGCCAGCCGCCATGGGGTTCGGGGCACCCTCCGCGTCAAATGGACCTTCCATGCCAATGGCAAAGAGACCGAGATCCTGGTGGCCCGGGGCCTGAAGGTCAAAGTCAGCGAAATCTACCGCAACCGAGTCTTCCTGCCCTTCTACCCCGACTCGCCCACGGACGCCACCCTGGTCCTGAGCGAGCTGCAGTCCAACGACTCCGGACTGTATCGCTGTGACGCTCAGCACGGGATTGAGGATGGGCAGGATTTCCTGGAAGTGAAGGTGAAGGGTAAGAGATTCCCAGCCCACGCAGGCCTCTCTCTCGGAGGCTGGATTGCATGCCCGTCCTTATTTCTGGTGAGAGTTCAAACTGCTCGGACACCAAGCTTTCACAGCCGATTCAGTTGGGAATCTTGTTTGAAATGTAACCTAATCCATAATCTGCAATATGCCACCCAGTGGAATCACTTCATGGAGATCTCAGCTGTAGCTTCACATTCGTGGCTTAAATTCTTTTCACGCAGATCTCCAGGTTCTTAAAATCTCTCATTTGACTACCTCCTTGCTATGGTCCGAGCAGTTTTTTCTCAAACTACTACCGGTATATATCTACTATGTATTTACATTATTTATTTCTGCTTGATTCAATTTATGATCCCCCTATTCTGAGTGGTGGACTAGCAAGCATTAGCAACCATTTCCTTGAAGAAGGCTAAAACTTGAACAGGGCTTGCAGGTGTTGGGTGTGTCTAGTCTAGAAAAGGAAATAATTGACATGGGGGTGACAGGATAGCACGCTTCCAGTATTTGAAGGGCTCCAATACTTGAAGGGGCCCCCAAAAGGCAAGGCAAGAAACAATGGTTGGAAACTAACCAAGGAGAGAAGCCAACCTAGAACTAATTTCCTAATGGTAAGAGCGACCAACCAGTGGAATAGTTCTCCTCCAGAAGTTGTGACTGCCCCAACACTGGGGGGTTTCAGGAAGAGGCTGGACAGCCGTTTGGTCAGAATGGTAGAAGGTTGAATTCAAAGACCTCCACGATTATTATCCTATGTTCTACGTTCCTTTCTTTCATTCCATGAAGCAAAATTCTCATTTTAGGATAGAAGGATCTATTTCTTTCAATGAAGATCCTTTCCCCCTACTAGTTCAAAGCTGTCAACCTTCAAAATTAGTTGGTAAAGCAAAGCAAACCTAGAGGCCATAACGACATTAAGATCCTACAAAGGCCCCAAGAGGACCCAGCCTTGTGGAGATTCCCAGGTTAGCAATGAATGCCACAAAAAGGGGACCCACCCTTGCTCTTCAGAGCTTTTGACGTTTCCTATATTAAGGACAGCTGTAGTTTGTGTGGGTGTGGGGGGGGGGAAGAGGGAGAGAGAGGAAAAAGAAGGAAAGAAAGAGAGAAAAAGAGAAAGGAAGAAAAGGAAAGAAGGAAAGAAGCTGGGAGCAAATCCCCAGGAGAGAACGAGAGAGAGAGAGAGAGAGAGAGAGAGAGAGAGC